AGATCCCCCTTAACCCTGAAGCCCGACCCATCAAATAGAAACTACGTAGAGTTTGCCCAGATTGGGCATTGAAGATTAAAGAGGAGGTCACCAAGCAGATTGATACGGGTTTTTTAATGGTATCTGAATACCCGACTCGGTTGGCTAATATCGTTCCGGTTCCAAAGAAGGACGGCAGAACCAGAGTCTGTGCCGACTTCCAAGATCTGAATAGAGCTAGCCTGAAAGATTACTTTCCATTACCCCATATCGATGAACTAGTAGACCTTACAACTGGCCATGCTTTACTTTCATTCATGGATAGATTTTCTGGGTACAATCAGATTTCGATGGCGCTAGAGGATAGAGAGAAAACTGCTTTCACCACGCCAAGGGGTACTTACTGCTATAGAGTTACGCCTTTTGGATTGAAAAATGCTGGGGCTACATATCAGAGAGCTGCGACCACCATCTTGCACGACATGATCCTGTAGACACTCCATTTTGGACCGTCCTTAACACTTGGATGTCATCGTTTGAACACTCGGTGATCAACCTTGTTCGTGTTCGTCTTGAGTTCCCGGAGGTCTCGGCTATGTGCCCTGCCTCAGGATCTCTTGACTTGACTGTTTTGTGTCTGGTTTTGCACCAAACACTTGTTGTTTTGCTTCTGAGGGTGGGATGTAGCTTGTAGGCCATCCCCACACCTCACCAGCCATGGGTTGAGGACACCGGCCTTGTTTCCTGGCCACCGGCCATTGTTGATGGCCAGTCGGCACTCTTGATGGTCGGTCAGCATTATGTTTGGCCGGCCGGCCACTGTTTTTGATCAATCGGCCACTTGTCCTAACCGAGACCTTTTCTTGAGGGAGTTTGACCCTTTTGAACCCTTTTTTAGCTTCTCCAAGAAGCTTGACCCTTTTTTAGCTTCTACAAGAAGCTTGACCCTTTTTAGCTTCTCCAAGAAGCTTGACCCTTTTTTAGCTTCTCCAAGAAGCTTCACCCTTTTTTAAGCTTCTTGAAGAAGCTTGAACCTCTTGACCCCTTTGCCTAGCTTCTCCAAGAAGCTTGGCCCTTTTGATCCAAGCTTCTAAGAGAAGCTTGGCCTTTTTGCTCAAAGCTTCCAAGAGAAGCTTTGCCCCCTTGTTTTGCTCTATAAATATAGAGCCTATCCTTCCATTCAAGAGGTTCCAAGAATTGGTCTAAAGCTCCATACATATATCTCTCTGCATATCGCCTTCATTTTAGCTCCAAATTGCTTGGTTCTTGGCTCCTTTGCACACCAACCCCTAGCCTAACACCTCCATCATCAACCTAAGGAGCTTGGAAGCCATTTTCAGAGGCTAAGGGACTGTTTTTTTGTCCAAGAAGATGCTGGGTTCGTTGGTCTACAAGGATGAGCCTTTAATCCTCTTTTATCCCCCGTTTTTGCACAAGTTTTTAGCCTGTCTTGCTTGCTATTTTGAGCTTTGTGTATAACATAAATTTTTTTTTTTTGTTTTTAAGATACTTCATTAAGGGCACTTTTGTGTTTGGGGTCGTTTACTCCCTCTTAGGCCTTGTTTGGCCCCATTTTGTGCTACTTTTGGTGAACTTCGGGACCACCTTGTTTGGGCCTCCTCACCACTGAAATCTTGAGGGATTTCAGTGGTGAGGAAGGTGGTTTAAGGTCCTAAGAAGGGGAGGGGTGACCCTCTCCCTTGTTGCCTTGTTTGTTGCCCTTTTTGGCCTTCCAAAGGGGCTCCTATTTGCATGCTTCCACGCCATGTTTCAATCATTTTTCAGTAGGTTTTAGGACCCCCATAAGCCATTTCTAGAGTTGGTTTGGTCTTGTTGAATGTCCTTATTGCATGTGTAGAGTAACCCTCTTGTTGGCCTTTCAAAGGAACACCCCATCCTAGCATGTGTGGACCTTCTTTCCATGGATTTTTGGGGCTTATTTGACATACCATGTTACTGTTTTTACTTGGTTTAGACGCACCATGTTTTCTTTGCATACTTGTCTTGTAATGCCATGAAATTGCCTTAACATGTATCTAGCACTTAGACCGCTATGCTTACTTATTTTGGCTTAGATTTGTGAAGCTTTTATGCATGTTTTAGTGTGATTAAGGTCTGTTTTTGGTCATTTGGGTCATCCATGCTTTGCTTTGTATAGCTACCATGCAATCTCCCTTGTAGGCCTTGAGTGTTGACCCCCCTAGCATGCTTTACTTGCTTTGTTTTAGTGGTTTGGAACCATTTATCATGCCATTTGAGACCTTATAGCATGCTTGTATGCTTGCATTTGATGCTCCTTTAATGCTTTAAAAGGTTGGTATCTTATGCTCCATGTTTGGCCCCTTTTGTATGCTTCCATGTATAGGCCATTTAGATGCCATCTAGGTGTGCCTTTGACCTTAATTTGGTATGATTTGGGACTGTTTTGATTCACTTTGATCATTTGCTTCGTGTGTCATATGATCATAGTTTAAGTCCTTGGGCTTGGATGCATGCTTTGCTTGCATTGGTTGGTTGATTTGGCATCATCTTCTACATGTTTTTCAAAGCTTATCATTTATGCTATGTGCCAATGTTTGCCCCTTTTAAGTGTGCTTGAAAGTTGCTTCTATATGCTTAGGTATTCAACCATGTTTGCAAGCATGTTTGTATGCTTAGGTACTTGGCTCGTGACATTTTGTTGCATGTTTAATTGGTGTTGCATTTGGCATGCATTTCTTGCTAAGTTTCCTAACATCTTACATGCCTTGCATGTGTGCATGGTTAAGATTACACTTTGCATGTTTGCTAACTTGTATACTTGTCCTCATGTTCAAGTTACATACTTAGCCTCCATGCCTAGGTTGCATTGCATAGAGCATGCATGCTTTGCCTCTTGAATTGAGTATGATAGAGGTTGGGCTTTATGTGTTTAATTGGTTTGCATGTCATTTGAAATCGAAATGCACAACTTGGTTTCTTGGGCCATCACGCATTGAAATGCGCGATTGGTGGTCCGAGGGTCAAGCACCATCCTCCTTTGAGTCATAAACATGATAAGGAGTGTGGTTGGTGCAAACATTGCTTGAAATGCATTGCCATGCCATGTTTTGCCCTCTGCTGCTGTCAAAACAGATTCTGCAGGAAGATTTGGCCGACCGGCCATATGCAGTGCCGACCGGCCATCCATCCGTGGCCGATATCTCAATCAGAGGCCGGTGGTCATTCTCCATGGCCGGTGGCAAATCCCCATAGCCGGTGATGTTCCGACGCATTCAAAGAAGCAACCCTGGGACTTGTGCAGTCTTCAGAGGAGGATAACAGTCAAAGTGGAGGCAACTTGTGCATGGTTGTGACTTTCCGAGCGGAACTGCGCATGCATTGCATTGGACCCTCTTCCCGAGGCTGATTTTATTGCTTAATTAGCTTAGTTAATTTGCTTAGCTAGTGAATTGTCTGTAATAATTAATTAGCTTGATAGTTAGTTAATTGTATTATTCTTTTGGTCCCTCTGAGCGAGGGCTAATTTGTAATAAGTGTGGGTGCGTGTGTGCATGTCTTCCAACCCCCACTTCTTTCTCCCTTTTACTTACCTGCTTAGATGGTTAGTATTAGGACACGTTTAATTTAGCATACCTTATGCAATGCATGCCTGCATTCATATATTTGCCTTGCATGCACCGGGCTCGGCGCATCATTCTAACTGCATTTGTACTTCAATTCCAAGTTGAATACGTGTTAGTTGTATCATCATCATATGCCATCATAGAATAGCCGAGCCTGTCTAGATTGCATCTTTGCATGTGTTGCACTAGCCATTTTTAACATGAACTAGGATCATGTATGTGATTACTAACTAGTTTCTGTTTTGGCTCGGAGTACACTGTAAGAACTATGCTTTAGCATCCTTGCGTGCGTGTGAGTGTTGCCATGACAGCATGATTACCATGAGG